AAAGCAACCTGCTGAGATGTAAGCTGTTGGAGCTGCTGCTGGACCAGGCCTGCTCTCAGAAAAGACCTCTGCCCATGTCCTTCAAACTGCTGCTCCACTTCCTGCAGACGTCCACACTGGCACCCGATCCATCGGTGAGGCAGAAACAACCCTCAGCATTGTGTTTAACTTCAGGGCACCAGTGTCACCATTTCATTTGCTGATTGTACATTATTTTGTCCAAAAGTACTGATAATGAGTGAATTCAGCCACTTTAAGGTGCTCCTATTGCTGACAGGCAATCAGTTGCACCCACACAGCTTGAATAAGCATTGACCATTACAGTAGAATGCTGTGGAGCAGCTACACATGAGCCTAAGATTACCAAGCAGTGGCTAGAGGTGATGTAGTGCCTCTCAGCATTAGGGGGGTGAAGCAGTGAAACTGGGTTCTCTGGAATAATGGAGCTTCATCCAACACCTTTGGAATAAGTTGGGGTGATTAGTTCTGAATCATCCAACATCAGTACCTGACCTCACTAATGCTGTTGTGGCTGATTGCAATCAAATCTTTGCAGCAGTATTCCAACATTTAGGCTGTTAACTGCAGCAAAGAGGGACAAACTCCCCATAAATACCCTTCATATCAGAAGAAACATTAGATGACCAGGTGTCTACAAACTTTTGGACGTATAGTGTATGTCCCGCCATAATTATTTTGCATGATTGTCGTGAAGCAGTGTTTGATTAGTAAACCATTGCTTGTTGAACTGCACTGGACTTGTATTCTTTTTTTGATGCAGGATGGCACAGAAAGATGGAAAAAATGGGATGAACTTCTGCAACTTGTGTGGATGCTCATGCTCAGTTATGAAGAAGTGATGACAGGTGAAAAAACTAAACACTATGCTGTTCTTTTAACATGAGTAATAAGAACTGGTTTCCCAGATGTGGTCCTACGTTTGGATTAAATTGTCCAAATGGAGATCTACCACAGAAAGTCTTGGAGTAAAAAGCCAATCTGAAATCAAAACTGGCCTTTTTACTTATTATATGAAGCCTGAATTATATGAAGCACAATTCATCATATCATGAGGACAAAGTAGTGACTTTTACCTGCATCTAAAACATCTTCAGATTTTCGATTGTTGATTGTGAAAAAATAATTAACCAATAATATCGTGTTTCACTTCCCTCTACCTGCCCGTCACCCCCATCTACCACTGAGCGAAAATGCTCAGCTAGCTCAGTTTTACTCACAGTATGGAAGGAAAATGCATTAAGATTTCTTACTAATGCTGACTTTAAGCTTGAGTCTGTGAAACTGGCTCCAGTAGTGTTAAGAAAGACAAGGGCTGTTTTTTAGTCTCTGTACGTACCTAATCTGTTCTGGAGTTCAGTGGAATACTAGCAATACCCACCAAGAAAAGTAAATCATTGCTGTCCAAAAATAAAAAAAAAAATGGTAACTTTACAAGAAAAGGAAAACGTTCTTTACTTTTAAAGGCCCATTTCCTGCATTTTCCTTTGAGGTAAACTTATTACATTTGTGTGGTTTTGGATACTGAAAATATCATCCATTTTTACATGACCATTTTCCAACCTCTCTTTAACCATTAGAATTAAACACGCTGTTTTTATTACTATGCTTTAATACAATATGTGTAATATATTTACTTTAATATATATGTGTGTGTGTGTGTGTGTGTGTGTGTATATGTATATATGTGTGTATATATATATATATATATATATATATATAAATTAGTTCTGTTCTAGTTGTCCTTTATTGTGCTTGATTCAAAAAGCAGTCCGGCATGAGACACTCCTTATACCTTCAGTGTGAAGGAGTGGATATAGGTAAATGCATTGGTTTTCGTGACATTACTTAAACAGAGAAATCAAAACAGGCTGTTTTTACGCCTTGTTTTCCATATACGAACTGCATTGAGTGAAACAGTACATTTTGAATATTTTGAAGGTTAAGAATGTTTACATACCACATACCACTCTTATTTCAAAAAAGTGAGAAATTCTGTTTTCTTTGGTAGGGGCCCTGTTATTTAAGGTAATGTAATGAGATTTTAAGTAATTTTGGAGATTTCTTATTGGTCTTTCATCATGAATGTTTCACACAGTATAAAGTGCAGCTGCTGTGCTCAAATGATGTAGAAAAATAATAAAATAGAAAAAAAAAAGAAATAATTGAGATTTTTTTGAACAAAATGACCATTCATTATTTCCTTTCTTTCTGCATAAATGGCGATATTAACGAACAGCTCTCATAGTTGTGCAGAGACTACAAGGACAGAGACTGAAAAACAACTTTTCGAAAAAGAGAAGTGTTTTCTCAGTGCTTACAATAGGACCATATTAGGATTAGGATAAATGTGGTTTGTGGTCAGACTAACAATGCTTGTCTTGTCTTGCACCTAGGTCACCTCCGCTGTTCCATCACAGAGCGGTTCACTTTGACTCGCGCACCAATGTGGACCCAGAATGACCAGGTTACCCGAGCAGCTGTCCAAGAGGCAGCGGAGGCTTTCTTATCCCGCGCGGTGGAGGACCTTGGCCATGCTCTGCCCTCACAAACACAAGAGTCGTTATCGCAGCTACAGGAGCATTTACTGAGTATCCGTTTGCATTAATGGACCTACAAGTTTTGAAAGCTATACTTTTTTCTTTTTTTTAATTGAATACATTTATATTTTTTCCAGTATTCCTTTTTGTCTGTGTGTTTTATTCTGGATTTCCTTCTGTTACCTTCGGTCTGCTGTGCCACTTAAATGTAACAACTAGGGATGCACAATGATATTGGAATCATATCAAGACAGATGTCTAGAATTATTCAATATTTCAAATCGATGTTTACAATATTTTTAATATACTCCCAAAAAAGCATAACAGTTGGGCGATGCTGGGTTAGAATGCCTGCATTTTATCAATTTGACTGTATTTGTTGCCCTATACAAATAATACAATTATTGCTCTGTAATGCAAATCCAGGCAGATGTAGTCCCAATTTCTACATTTTGGAAGAAGTATTTGATTGGCATCAGCTAAAAATACATATCAGTGAATCCCTAGTAACAACTTTCACACCAGTATAGGTCCTAGAGTCATATCTTGTGGGATGTGCTGCTTGACATTTGCTCTGTCCCTTTCTGCGCTCACTAGGGGCGTAAGGTATTGTCTGCCAGGAAATGTAGTTTCCCTCCACTACAAAGAAGCCACTATCTGTCAATTTTGACAGCATTTTTCTGACATGTGGCCTGAAACCATACTGAAAGTGTTGACTTCAATGAAATAAAAACTCAGGTTGAAGGAAAAAGTAAGTAAAGTTGAGGAAATGTATTATGATTTGAGAATGCTCAGAAAAGCCTACATTTTTCTTGAATGTTATTTTGTGGATTATGTGGATTTATGACCCAAAAACAGTCATCATTCATTTTCACATGATTGTTTTCAAACTTCCCTTTTTCTGAGAAGGGTCTAATTGCAGCACCACATGAGGGCGTTTCTGTGATGCTGACACGCCTACCCCAGAAACGCCCCTTATGTGACGTTAGGATGTCCTTTACATAGGATCCCTTACATTGTCAACTCATCAAGAGAAGCCAAAACACATTACAAACCCCCAAGAACCAACAGAAACTATTCTACATTTGCACATACTTGTTTTTAAATGCCAAATGCTCATTAAGTAAATATGTAGAAACAATAATCATTTAGAATGATTAACGTCTTTATAAATGCTGGCGTATTTTCACTATTAAGTCATATCCATCAATGAGAGAAGCCATTCTGCAGACATATCGGCCAATGAAAGGTAAGGGGGCATTCCTGATGTGGGCGTTCTTGTTTTACCAAAACGCCTTTAATTGCAGTTGGACCAGAACCTGTTTATGAGGAGGTTGGCCACTTCCTATTTCCCTGGTTATATCAAAAACAGCACTGCAAAACAGCAGAGGGGGCCTCAATGAATGGGGGTGAATGGAGCTAAAAACTAAAAGTTACAATAGTTTCTAATCACTTGCCCAGAACTTTCCCTTAATTTTAGAAAGTAGAAGGATGTATTTCGCTAAAAGGCAAGCTTGCCTACATGCTTCCTCTTTTCAACAGCAAACGGATAGTACAAATTGGGCAGTACAATGCTAGCATTACTGCTACTGAGTGCTGATTGGTTGGCGAGCGGAGCAGCTCATTGGCTGTTCGCGCTCACTGACTTCATGAAAGTATACGTGGCGCTGTTTTAAAATCCTGTAACTCGAGCTCAAACGCGTTTAAAACTGTAACAGCGGTGTTAAAATGTTTAATGCTGTTGTATGTTCAGGATATAAATGCATTCTTTTATCTTAATTTTATCTTGAAATGATTTCACTCAAATGCTCCATACTAACCTATTCATTTTGGACTCGCTCGGGAGCGCCCTCTAGTGTTTGAGAAACCCGCAAGACATTACAGAGTGGTAATTCTCTCTACAAGTTTTTGGTTCAGCACTATTGGGGTTATTCTCTTACAATTAAACAGGCTGTGTTTATGTTTTTGTGCCTCTAATACTGATATATGTGAATGCCAAGGTTGAAACGTTGCTTAAAACTTCAACGTGAAGGGGGCGGGGCTAATTTGCTGTAGACTGAATAGGTGGATATATGCAAATACATTGGTTTTCGTGACATCACAAATATTAATTTGTAACAGTTTATTTTTGCAGCTTAGTTTACGTAAAGGGTCTGTATCGTACTTTCTGAAACCTTAGTAATGTTTACACTCTACATCAAACTATTTCATCTCAAAAAAAACGAGGGAAATTTGATTTTGTAACTAGCTGGTGGCTCTCCTCTGGTTGTAGGAGCAAAGGAGCCAGGCAAGTATTTTTTCCTTATGCTTGAGTAGGTTTTAACCTCAGGAAGTCACATGAAAAGTGTTGAAAACAGCTTTCAAATAATTCTTTTTTATCTAAAAGCTGTAGCCTAAAAAAATCTCTCCTCTGTTTTGGTCCAGCGTGGCCCTGCTGTTCATTTAAAGTGTCGCTTCCTTCATGTGCAGCAGGACTGAAACACGCCATCATGTCCGTCTGCTTACTGTGACATTAATCCACCAGCGCAAACCAGAGACAAGCCCAGGCCCAAACCAGGACACAAAGCTCGCTTCAGGCGGTTGGTATGCTTTTAAAGGTAAATCCAAAAAAGGCGCTTTAAACTCATTTATCATTGTAACACAAGTGCGTTAGCTCTGGTTTATTGTCTAGGTTAGCTTGCTAGTGCTAACGAGGATGTTCGCCAGCTTCTTGTTCGAATTTTCCCGTTCCACCTTAAATGCTGCTGCAGTTACGCTGGTGCTTCAGGCGCTACAATCGAACTGCTGCACCATTTAAGGTGGAACGGGATAATTCGAAAAAGAAACTGCCTTCAGCTTCGTCTAGTGCTTGTTCTTTGTATCTAGCTACAGTGGGAAAGGCATTGTGAGTGGACGAATAACACATAATACGACTGACTAATGGGATTAATCGTGAATAATCGAGTTTAATAACATCATCGTTTATATCAGACTTTAAACATCTCGCTAGAGTTATAGCGTTAGCGAGCTAGTTTGGCTTGTATCTTAGCTTAGCTTAGCTGACGAAGGCCGTGAATGTTTTTCTTGTTTGGCCAGATTAAACCCTTTGAATCTGCAAAAAAGAGCCCACCCCACAACATTTGTCTGGAAACGAACGTGTTTGTACATATTTTTGGATTAAATAAATTGGTTTGAGGCAGTTACAGTTAAGTGACACAGCGCTGTTTGTTTTGTATCAGTGCCTGCTAACAGTAACTTGGTGCGTTCTACTTCCTGTTATTTGGGTTAGCTTAGCCTAGCGAAGTCGAGTAAACAGCTGTTGCTGTTGTTTGTGTAGCTAAGTTACTCGAAAGATCTTATCAGTGGCCTCTCTAATTTGGGTTTTTAAGAAACATTATTAAACGTGTGTAAGTTATAGGTTAACATTGCTAATGACCAGCTATTCAAAATATTGATTACCCTACTGGCTTTAACAACTTTAGAAAAGATCAGAATCAGTCTGATCAGCCAAGTACCAGGTGTACAGGGAATTCTCTTGGTGCAGGTGTCAACATAAAATTAAAATAAATTTAGGAAAAGATATGCTATGTAAGCATAAAATAGACACTACACAAACAATCTGCAAGTAAAGGATGTGCAGTACAGATACCATCAAGTACTGAGGTACATTATGTACAGCTAAAAGAACTGAGCAGCAGATATAGATGTAAATGTAAACGTATCTATTAAATATGTATATTGCAACAAGTTAAAGTGCATGTGCACTTACTACAGGAGAGGAAAGTGGGCTCTTATTCAGAAGGATTATGGCAAGGAAAAGACAGTGGTTGTGTGCATCACAGTGTGTGTGAGATAAAGCGCATGTGCAGCAGTTTAAAGCAGAGGGATGTGAGAAGGGTCCTTGTTGAGGAGGATGATGGCCTGAGGGAAGAAGCTGTAGAGGTGATGGTTGGTCTGAGTCCTTAGGGCTCTCAATTTGCTCCTTTTCTCATCCTAGATGATTTAAGGGTGGAGAGCCAACAGCAGATTTTCTCTGTGCGTCACACCTTTCGCCGTAGCTTACGTTTGGTGTGCAAAGATGCAGAGCCGAACCAGATGGAGATGGAGGATGTGATGAAAGTTATGGCGGTGTTGAAATGGACCAGCAGTGCTTGAGGCAGCTCAGATTTCTTGAGCTGACACAGGAAATACAAGCACTGCTAGGCCTTTTTAACTGCAATGTCCCATTTGAGTATATAGAATATAGAACAAATGGTGGTAGCGCTGCAAAGTTTTAAGCAAGGAGCCAGATTTAAAGTTCAGTGGCCGTCTGTAGCTTTCTACTTTAAGGTAAATGCTGGCTAGTCAGACCAAAAGCATTTTCCTCTAACTTTAGTAAGTTAACCCATATAACAGACTCTGTTGGTTTGCACATCACACTCTGATTGCTACATGTAATACATAAACCATTTCCAGGCACCCTATATTCTCAGTTATTTGACCCAGTGATTGATGTTGACTGCAGATAGTTGTTATTCTGAGGGCTTTAGTGTAAGACACTGTTTCTTTTTCCTTACAGTGGTGTAGGGATGCCCAAGGAGAAGTATGAGCCGCCGGATCCTAGGCGGATGCACACTATTATGTCCAGTGAAGACGCAGCAAGTGGGAAGAAGTCTTACTGGGCTGAGCTTGAAATAAGTGGTAAGAATTGCTGCAAACTACAGAACATGCATGGTCATTTATCATATCTTCGCTGTCAAAAAAAACAACAACTTTTCTCCAGCTCTAACATTACAGGAGAAGACCAAAACATTCTGTACTTTTATTGTAAATTTTTATAGAGATTTTTTTGGATTATTTCTATTTGTCCCTTGATCAGGAGGTTGTAGAACATCAAAGTTGACTGCTTGACTATTTTGTTAGAATAGTCTTGTATTAGCAAGTAAAATTTGTCACTTCAGTAACAGGTGCTTGTTTCCTTGTCTGTCAGGCAAAGTGCGGAGTCTAAGCTCAGCCCTGTGGTCACTCACTCACCTCACCGCTTTGCACCTCAGTGACAACTCGCTGTCACGTATCCCACCTGACATTGCCAAGCTACACAACCTTGTGTACCTGGACCTGTCGTCCAATAAGATCAGGAGCCTGCCAGCAGAGCTTGGCAACATGGTGTCTCTCAGGTGAGTGATGGGTGGCAGAGCGTGCTGCTTGCACAGTGCATTTGGAAATGACAGAATGCATCATACTTGACAGTCTCAGTGTTCACTTGAATTTTGCTTATATACATAATCTGGGGCTAACCAGAGGCTTTAAGTCTGTTTTTTTATGTATTGTGCATAGGAAATACATGTAAAAGTTATCAAATATATTATAAAGACACAATTTATTTCACTTTATTAATTATGTCTGCATCTCCAAACATATCCAAAATCATGTGTTTTTAAACCTTTGCATGTTCTCTTTTGGGATCTTTTTTTGGAGTCTTCCTTATAATGCTTTAAGGGGATGGTTTGATGGAAAATCAAATCTTCCACTTATCTCAGATGTACTCGATCAGCCAAGACATGTTTGATGTCAAAATTTTGCTTTGCTTTAGTTTAGTGCTGAAACTGTGATGCTGATGTTGCTAACCAAGACTAGAATTTAATAGTCACCCAAATCTTTTCTGTAAATACATCCACAATATGCCTCTCAACGCACTCAAACCACATCCAGGTCTTCTTTAAGGTCACGCAGCCTGACTTGGTGTGAACTATAAAAATAAACAAAACTTCAACATGTTTTGTTTTGAACACCAAACATATGGCTGGTCGTCTATGTCTGGGATAAGTGGGAAAATTAAGTAAGTTTGATTTTTCACTGAACTATTCCTTTAAGTACCACAGTGAATTCAATGAGTCAGCAGGACAGGCCTGCAGTAAGTTCTGTGAGTAGAGAGCTTGTTTTAAAGTGTGCATTTCCCTGTGTTCTCCACAGGGAACTGCTCTTAAATAACAACCAGTTGCGGGTTCTGCCTTTCGAATTGGGGAAACTGTTTCAGTTACAAACACTGGGGTTAAAAGGTGAGTGTGACCATTGATGTGGTAACCTCTCCGTCCTGAGAACCCCAACATGTTGTAGAAGAAGGTAGCATCATTCTGATTCTTGTCTTCACAGGAAATCCACTTGCACAAGATCTCATGAGTCTGTACCAGGAGCCAGATGGCACCCGCCGACTGTTGAACTACCTTTTGGACAATCTTGCCGGTGCTATTAAACGCAGTAGGTTTCTCAGGGTTCCAAAGCGGTGTGTTGTCTGGACGTGTTCTGCAGGGCTACTGTTAGGTTTATATATCGTGTAGTGATTTATACGCGGTGTTATGTACAGCATATAGTTGCTAAATATTAAACTGACGTGTATGTATGTTTGTCCCTTGAGTCCCAACAGAGCAACCACCACCCAGGTCATGGATTGTACTGCAGGAGCCTGACAGAACCAGGTCTGCAGGTAAGCATTTCTCATAGCAATCTACCACCGTGTTTCGTTCCTATCTATGCACTGTTGACACTGTTGACCCATTTACATGTTTTGCATGTAGAGCAGTGGTTAAAGCATTAACTAGTGGTTAGTGCGTGTAAAGAAAGGCTCTATTGTTGACCCTGCTTTGTCTCTTCCCCCTTCATGCAGCTCTGTTCTCAGTAATGTGCTACAATGTGCTGTGTGATAAGTATGCCACACGCCAGCTCTATGGCTACTGCCCGCCCTGGGCCCTTAACTGGGAGTACAGGAAGAAGGCCATTATGCAGGAGATCCTTACCTGCAATGCTGACATCATCAGCCTACAGGTACCATAAGACTGTAGTTGAATGAGACACTGATGAGTAATTCAAATTTATGTTTGTATCTGTTAGTGTTAGAGAGCGTTTAAGCAGGTCATCTGTGTGTTTTAAAAAAATCCAAGTCAGTGCTTTTATGAAGTCAAGCTATTAATTTGATTAATTTTCGCTGTGTTGATGGCAGATCAACAGTACATAGGCTTTAATATTTTTAATATCACGGTGCTCTGGAAAGCCATGTTAAATTGCTTTTTACAGGAAGTGGAGACGGAGCAGTATTATAACTACTTCCTGGTGGAGCTGAAAGGGCAGGGATATGATGGATTCTTCAGCCCAAAGTCCAGAGCTAGAACCATGTCTGAATCGGACAGGAAACACGTGGATGGGTGTGCAGTATTCTACAAGACCGAAAAGTGAGTACAGCTTGTTTCACAATAGCATCTTCATTTTTCATGCTTATGTGAATAAGTTAAATATTTAAAATGTATTTTAAATATTTGAATTATGCCATGAAGCTCCCAGTGTATAGTTTTTGTGCTGATGTTGATGCCAGAGGAGGTTTCGAATTCAGTGAGCTCTTTAGAACAACCCATTCCATATAGTGGATGTACGTGTAAAATATCGGCTCTCAGCATTGGTATAGAATTCCCATACCGGTGCGTCCCTGCTATTAAAGTGGGAGGGGAATGTTCAGCACTCAGTCTATGTCGTAACAAAATGATCATAAAAAGCTTTCTTTAGTCTTGCACATCTTTAGAAAGAGAGCCATAAACAGTTCTCTGAATGATGCCACAGATAAACACTTTTGGTCCCCTAAAGAACCATTATGAAAAGAGATTTCTGAGACTGATGAACCTTTAAAAGGTTTAAAGAACCTTCACATAATATCAAGTTGCCAATTTAAGGGTTCTTCTCAGAACCTTTACATTATGTGGCAGTGCTTTAAACGGTAAAAAAAGATTCTAAAAACCATCCATCCAACCAGAAGTGGTTATGGCGTAACACTGTAATTTACCACAGCTTGATAAAATGAAGATAAAAGTTTAGAAATGTATGAAAATGTATTAAAAACATCCAGTCATAATTTCTGTGATGGGATGCACACCAAAAACTGAAAGGGAAGACCACATGTTGAATTTCAAATGTAGGATAGATTATGAAAAAAGTTTTTCAGAGTTACAGGAACATGAAAAGGAAACATAACAGAATGGAGAAAAATAATCTCAGTAGGTCAACACATTCGCGAAAACACAACCTCACACGCAAAGGCTTAAAGAGAGAAATTGAAAGGCTAAAATTCTAAGAGGAGAGAGAGAGAGATGGTGGGCGTGAGATCACCTGCAGGTGTCTGCACTCTCTCACGTACTTGGCCAAAACAGATATACATAGCTTTATGCTAATTATATGTAAATTAGTCCGTCTACATATACAATTGCTGATTCATCGTGAATAAAAACTGTTTTAATGCAGGCTTGTTGTTTTTAAATAGTGTGTATCTGATGAAGGCCTGGCATGCAGGCCATATCATACTGTTTTTAGATAAATAAATTGCTGGAATTTGTCCTGATGCAGAGTGAATGGGGAAAAGGTACAACAGTTTTTTTGGCTGCACCTCACCTCCAGTTGGCTAAAGCACAAAAAAGCAGTATGGTTGAACCCGTATGGTTATGTTGATTGCAGTGTGGTCTATGTTGACGCCAAGTTAGTCATTTCTGTTAGCACTAAATAGTGAAGTCTGGAAGTCTTGAACGTAGGCTTTGTCTCTTTTCATTCAGGTTTAGCATGGTGCAGAAACACACAGTGGAGTTTAACCAGCTGGCCATGGCCAACTCTGAGGGCTCGGAGGCCATGCTGAATCGTGTTATGACCAAGGACAACATCGGAGTGGCAGTGTTGCTGGAGCTGCGCAGGGAAATGATGGAGATGACATGTGAGTTTTGAATTGCTCAGTATTATACATGCTTATATCTTTTAACACATGTAAACCTTTTTCAAATAAACAAAAGCAATTTGTTTAAATACGCTTGTTTTTTCCATTGCTTGTTGGTTCTTATGTACAAAGCCGTGCCTGTTTGCCTGGAGGGACAGAATGTACCAAGGCACTTGTCAGCATTGTACTTTTATTAATTTTTTTTTATTGTGAAACCTCTGATTAGTGCTTTATCTTGTTGTGTCTTTGTGTGTAGCGGGTAAGTCTCTTCTTGGCATGGAGAAACAGCTGCTTCTGGTGGCCAATGCCCACATGCACTGGGACCCAGAGTACTCTGACGTGAAACTGGTGCAGACTATGATGTTCCTGTCGGAGGTTAAAAATATCGTGGACAAAGCCTCGCGCAGCCTCAAGCTCTCCTCCGTGTCTGGAGAAACCAATGCCATTCCTCTGGTGCTTTGTGCTGATCTCAACTCATTGCCTGACTCAGGTTGGTCCACACAAATTCCCATGTAGCTAAAAAATTTTTAACTAAAGATAGCGTGCACTTTGCATTGTGGACATAAATCACACTAGTGTTGTTAGCTTTTATTCACTGTTAATCATGTTACCATTTGACGTGAATTATTCCATTTGCTATGCTGGTGTCTTGTGTGAGTTTTTAGCTGCGAGTAAACACTGCCGTTTTAGCAGTGCCTTAATGTAGAGAGGGATGTGTAAAGAATGTTGCGAATTTTAGCACTTTGTCATAGAGACCATCACAGCTGGGCTTGCTGATCATTGCTTTAACGGCCTGTGCTCAGCACTTAATTAGCGCTTTTGATAGGCAGACTAGAATAGAGGATCTGAGCAGAATGACAGCCAACCATCACGAATTTGGCAGGTTTCTGTTCGGAGTAATTTTAGTTTAGTGAATTTCAAAAGGGAAGCATGCCTGGTTTCGTGGTCAGTCACTGGCCGATTTCACTCAAGCCGGAGAATAAAACCGAGTTTTCTGCATTTTCACAAGATAGGTAATTTTGAAGTGATCATACGGAGATCTTGCTTCAGTTTAGAAAAGTCATTCTTTGTCATGTGTGAGGGCTGTTTGTGAGTATTCCGCTCTATGCAGATGCGCTTGTTTTTGATTAAAAGGCATGTCTGCATGTGCTTTATACGTTGCGTCTCTCTTCGCAGGTGTGGTGGAATTCCTGAGCACAGGTGGGGTGGACTGCACGCACAAAGACTTCAAAGAGCTGCGCTACAGTGACAGTTTGACCAACTTCAACTGCAATGGCAAAAACGGCTCATCTAACAGCAGGATCACGCATGGCTTCAAGCTAAAGAGTGCCTACGAGAACGGGCTCATGCCTTACACCAACTACACCTTTGACTTCAAGGTTAGAAACGATGTCAGCCTTCTGTAGTTTGGTTGCTTGTGTGTGTGTGTGTGTGTGTGTTCAAAAGGACTGATAAGCAGCACTATTCAGGTGTTTATCTCTTTATCTCTGGTTATGAACAAACACAGTAAACTGGCACGTGCTAGCATGCTAGCAAAAACAAGAAGTGAAAATTCATCAGCTCATAGGATCAAACATTTGAAAACATTCTTGATCGCTTTTGGTTTCAGTAACGCAGGCAGTCTTGAAAGAGCTGAAAGACTAACACTAAAAGTAAAATTAACTGGTGCGGTAGTAGTGGATAATTCTCAGTGCATGATTCTAGCTAACGCCACCAGTTACACTGATTGCGTCTGCCCTTCTTTATTACTTTCCTAGCAGTGCATCCTTGGCAGTTTCTTGCAGCAAAATATACTACACAGCACTGCATTTCACTGAATTTAGAGTCTGTATGTTTCTCCTTGACTTTGTGATTTAATGCAATATACCAGAGTAGTGATTTCAGAATGGGGACACTAATACCTAGAATAATTAGCCAAGTACTTGAGTACCCGTGTACGTCCCTAATTACATATGTTTCTTTGGTCAGTGCCATCAAAACCTTTTGATTGTGTCTTGCACCACTGTGCCTTATTGTGATTTGTGTATAAGAGTATGTGTAATGTGCAATTTAAACCTCAATTTTAAGTTATTTGCAGATGATTATTCATTCAGCCTACCCCCCCATCTGTAGGGTATCATCGATTACATCTTCTACTCTGAGCCACAGCTTGATGTGTTGGGGGTCCTGGGGCCCCTGGACCCTGACTGGCTCATGGAGAACAATATCACTGGCTGTCCGCACCCCCACGTCCCCTCCGATCACTTCTCCTTGTTTGCACAATTCGAGCTGGTCCTGCCTCACCTCCCTCCAATCAACGGAGTGCACCTGCCTGGACGCAGGTAGTGAAACTCCCCTGCCACCGGGGACACTGCAGAGTCCCACCTCCTCTGACACATTTTTCTGGAAACTTACTGAAAACGATAGAACCTCTAAACTACACTCTTCTTCTTTTTGTTATTCTCTTTCTTTCTGTGCGTTTTTGAATGTGTTTTTTTCTGTTGTTCATTTTCTTCTGCTTTCTTTATTTCTGATGGAGCCAAATTTGCTCACAGGCACTTGGAGGCTGTGGTTCGTCTTTCTTGATCTCTCGAGCTTGGTTTTATGGTTGCATACTGCATGGATTTCTGTTGGCTCACTCTTTTGTGTAGTACTTTTTGTCCTGAAGATGTAAGTAGTTTGTAGGGCTGTGGTCTCGTAATACAGTGGCCTGTATGTACAGTCAGCTTTCACAAGTCAGCTTCATGATACGGTAAAACAACACATGGCCACACGCTCGAAGGCAGTTGGGGCTGATGGAAGCGGAGGTTGTAATGCCGTAGGTAGTTAAATCCTAATAATCTAAAGCCAGCAGCGATTCACGAGTCCTCCACCAAGTGCATTAAACCTCTGTTTTCCTTTTTTAAGCCCTGAACGGATTCAAAGACTCGGTTCAAATATGTATATGAAGTATTTGACAAGCAATAGCTCACCAACAACACCTGGATTTTGCTTTTTGTATATGTATATATGTATGAGCACATTTTTAGTTATCGTGTTGACCCCTCTTTTAGCATACCACAGCTTTTGAAAGCATACATATTTGCTTATAAGTATGCCAGTCTTGAAGTACTCCAGCCCTGGTAGCTGTGGTGGGGGTGGAGTGTGGAGAGTGGTGCTGCGATTTCACTCTTAAATGGTGCAATATTCAACAGCATAATCCTGCAAGACATTCAAAGCTAAAACACTGTGGCAGTTTGTTTTTAACCTAGCTTAAATACTAATACTTTCCTCCTTGCATCAGCTTCCTCCTTCTAGGAGGGGTCGCAATTGGCCTAATCATGTTAATACTAAATTTGGACGAATCTAGCAGCACTTGCTTTTGCACATTGTGTTTTTAATCTATTGGCTTTAGGTTCCCCTTTCCTTTACGGTGTGACAGAGCTATGCAGCTGGATTTGTTTAGTTTAAAAAAAAAAAAACAAACAAAAAACAAAAATGGATGTGACTTCACTGTGGAATCTCCCACCTGGTGGTGGAGGGGCATGTGGTGGGTAGAATTGCTCAGTTTATTCAGAAAGGGGGGATTATGTGAGAAGACTTCAGAGTCTGTATTCAACCAGCATCCGTTCACTGTGTTGGGTGAAAAAAAAAAAGGGGGTGAACGTTCCCCTTTTTTGTTTTTCCAAGCCCCTCCATCTCCACTCTCACTCTCTCAAGGTCTGTAGCATTGTCTTTTGCGGCCAGTAGTTTCCCGCCCAGCCATAAAATCCCCCCCTGCACCGTCCTCGTGGGGTTTTCCCCCCAGCTGTTTTTACAAATGGACACAAAAATATATATATATATGTATACACAGATTTAACCTTTACTTGATTGTATATGAGCCACACGCAAAGAACTTTTAAATGTCTTTTGTACTAAGGATAAATTATGATCCGCGTTTAAAGGAAAAAAGATTGTATTGTATAAGTATGACTGCATTTTTATCAAAAGGAATCAAAATGACCAGCTTATTAACAAAAAAAAAAGATGAAGAGGTTGTTTCCAGGTGTCACTGCCACTTTTTGCACTCTCCAGATTTTTTTTTGTTAAGCGTTTTTAAAGTTTTGTGACTGCAGTACTCAAGGTGTACATAAATTCCAATCTTAGCCATCCATTCTCAAGTCATTTCTCTGTGCAGCTCGTGTCGGGAGCGATATCGTTCTGCATGCCGCAGAGATATCGCTCGCCAGCACTCTCGCTCGACTCAACACTTAAGCTGTCGACACTCCTGCCACGCCACGCTGTGTAGAAGTCAGCATTGTGCCTCGGTGTATCCTTATCTTGCACTACCAGTGAACACCTGTGCAACCTCTCATCCTTTACAAAAAATACTGTTAGTCGCTTCTGGAAATTTTATGTGATGATTTTTATTCCATTTCTCCATCATCACTTTGCTTTTGGTAGCAGATTCATGTTATGTCATGTAAACCTGTACACTTTTTTTCTAAACTACTGTACTACGCAAGAAATCAGGTCTGTAATGTCACACATGTTATTTTTGTAGCTAAATGCATCTGTGGTAGGGCTCTAATGTTTTACTTTCACCACTCCTGATAATCTGTTCCTCAGTTCGAAGCATGTGCCCTAGACCTCTTTTCTGTGTACAATTCAAACCTGACTTTACAACCCTTTTCTAATTCTGTTGACGTCTCTGTAATATCTCTAGTATGGCCATACTCTTTCCTGTGTAGTGCCATGTGGTGCGTTCTTCTTCGAAGCCAGTTTAGATTAGATTTCCCTCTTGAGATACTTCCTTTTGTTGAAGTGGGAGAGGGACAGGGCTTTTCTTTCTTATTTTTCTTTTTTATTTCCTTTTCAGGGTTATTGGTATCTCTTTTCATAATGTTTCTTAGCTTTCGGACCAAAATCAAATCTGTAAAACGCAGTAATCATAATCGGCAGCGGGATGTTCAAGGTCAGGCTTTCTTATGTTTTTAGAAAGTAGATGAAATGTTTCTGTTAGCACTTAATCTGATGAGATGAATTCCTTTTCGCTTCCACACAAACTGACTCGCTGTCACTTTAGCTCAGATTGGCCTGTTTCCACTATGCAGAAGAAGAAATTTTAAGTCAGATTTTTTTTAGCAGTAAAAAATAAACTAAAAATCGGGATCTCTTCTCAGCACCATATTTGTTTTCTTATTCTGTAAATTGCACCTTTTGCCCTGTAAATGACCTTGAATTGCTGAAGGTATTGTAGTAGATTTGAGAGTAGCTTTTTGTAAAGTGTGAATAAAATGTGTATTGCCTATTTCCTTTCTACAAAAGAAACAATGTTTGTGGTTATTTATTTTCCGATGATTTATGTTTAAAGTGCCAACTTCCCACGTTTCACACAGGCTTCTGTAAACGTGATAGTTGAATTGAAGTTTTCACACAAACTACTTCAAGTTACCTTTATGAAAATGTATGAAAAGTGTCCTGATCTTATTTAAAAACCAAAAAATAATCATTTGACAATTGTTTTTCCTCACATAACAGACTATAGATTCTGTAAGAAGAACAAGATCAGCAATTAACGATAGGTTTGTTTTGGCCGTTGCTTTGCTTTACTGACTTCATTACTAACAGCCTCTACAGAGAACACACTTCCGCACATTTTAATACACAGTTACTGTTTATGTTCTAAATTTAACAGATTTAGGGGGGGAAATGCAAAAGTTGTTGCACATTTTATATAATTTTATATGATTTTATTTCCAATATAAACTCAAATGAATAAAACAGTACACTAGAATTTGAATTCCTTAAAGGACGTGTTAACTTATTTTCACTTTGAAAATCAAGAAAAACTTGTCATTTGACTGAGGGTGTTTAAACTTTTGCACTTGACTGTACCTTTGTACACTGTACAAGTGAATTCAGTGCCAGAGATTCTTCCACAGCTGTGATTGTTGCACTTACATACCATTCAGGAAAATGTCTAGTAACATTTTAAACCACATATTCTCAAAGGGGAACACCACCGATTTTTAAAAAAATGCTGCATCATTGAATGAGTGTATATGACCTCCAAAAGCTACATCACACAAAATGCTAATATGATCTTCCTGGTGCCTGAAACATTGTTTTATAATAGTTTTGAAAAATGATTTTGGTCTAAATCTGTTTAGGGTGGAGCAGTGCAGGGTATTGTAAGGCAACGCAGTCTCCAGATTTATTTATATACACATACATGTATATTGCTGTTATCGGATAAAAACCTTGTATCTCCAAAATAATAATTTTACAGGAAAAGGAAAAAACTGCTTTTAATGTAAGTCAGTGGGACAAGTCATTTTAGGCCATTTCTTTTGGTCAGTTTATCATAAATTTTACACACGATGTAAAGAGCAACAGGCACTTCCAAATTATGTAAAAAACGAGATACAAGGTTTTCGCAACAAACCATCTAACCACTCAGAATAATTCAGCTGAAAAATTTCAATAATCGAATTATACTGAAAATATGAAGAAGTGGAATTTCTCTTTAAAACCTAATCTAATTTGCCCTGTCTATTATACTACTATAGTATGTATAGTTTACTGAACAAAAATATGAATGCAAAGCATTTGGCATTGCTTCTATTTTTCAATCAGTTTGATATGAAAATCCAGAGACTGATCTGAATTCTCTTTCACAACCTGTTTTTATTTACTTATGTATTTTTTGGTCAGGGTTTCAGTAAAATCTCTTTCAAGTAAAAAAGTATCATTTTTGTCCAGCGTGCTTTTCCCCCCTGTTTGCATCAATGCATATTCTTTTGCAGCTGTTAGTATGTAATGGCAGATGGTGCGTAATAGCTGTGTTCAATTAGAGGGTGTGCTCTGTCCTCACGTCCACAAGGTGGAGCTATTGGACCAGAGAAGCCATGGAAGCACCTCAACATCCAGTGGCTTTGAGGAGCCAAAAAAATGTGAAATAAAATCTCTTTGACTTGGGCTTTACCTTTGTGGAAAGTAAACAAAGACTAATGGGCTCTGTTTTAATGTGCTGATGATAATAAAGTGAACAGACCTACAGTGGCCTTTGATCAGGAGGCCCAACTGTTTTTTACACTGGTGTAAGCCTGTCCAGAAAGCGTAAAAGGGTAAATAAATAAGCTAAACTCAGGATAGGTATGTGGGGAATCTGCACTCAGTCATGAAGGAAACGTGGTGGTGGATTTACTGGAGCTTTGTTTGAGTAGTGGATGGTGTGCACGTGGAGCTTTTGATGGCTGTGACTGAACTCAGTCCAACTTCTATGGAGAAACAAATTTGTCAGTGCTTTTTTTGCCTGTATATAAGTGGATTTATGGCTTTGTTTGCCTTGTGTGAGAATGCCATGCAGTCAGATGTGCAATGTTTATTTTATTTTAGGGGTTTACAGAAGGTTAGTTGTGTTTTTTCCTCAGGACATTTTTAAACTTTTTTTTTTGTCCTCTGTGGTGTGTGTGCATTGGTTGGACTGTCCAGTGTTTGGAGCTTACTGCTTCTGCACTGACGTGGCAGCGAGAGTTCAAAGTCTCGGTAAGTGTTAGCAGATGTATCTCTTTCTCTCTCTCTGTCTCTCTCTCTCTCCCTCCCCAATTACCACTGCCTTTACTGTTGCACCTGACCGCAGTTCATGCAGGGACCTGTGGAAAACATGACTGAGTCTCCTCGCAGATGATTTACGGCGAGTTTGGCCCTCGGAGACGCCTCGTACTCTTACACATAGAGGAGAGCACAGATGGAAACTAGGCCAAGCGGTGGGAAGCCACACTCAGCTCCCACTTCTCCAGTCCAAACAAACACCAGAGCTGACAGCCTGAGATTTTTCCTGACGTGAAGCGCCGCCGCGACTGTTTTCTCCGCTCGTAACAAAGAGCACACGTCACTTGGGAGGAGCGAGGCCCTCTATACGCCTGCATGCTGATGACCATCAGGGCCATGAAGATGTAAACAAAGTCATTCAGAGTGGTTGAGTGGAGAAACGTACACAATCAGAATTCTTCACAGAGACGGTGATGAGAACCAGGCGTCTGTTTTACGACTGCTTTGAGAAGGTTTTGGACTAAAGCGTATTTTTTTTAAAGACATTTATGGTGGAGAGAGTACCCAAAATACATTTTAGGCCAAAATGTTCTCTTGAAATTTCCATGAAACGACGTCTCCGATATCAGGCAGTGTATTCATAATGATTTCTGGTTCCCATCACCAACATTGTGAACGGTTCTAATACCAATAGTCAAAAAAGCGCAGTCCGTCTAAATGAATTATGTATTAATACTGGTTCTATGCTTGCATACAAATTAATATTATTGAGGTAGATGGGTGGGTGCGTCACTTAGGACCTTCAAAATTTCTGAAATGGGCCTGATGGCCAAAGCTGTAAACTGCTACACACTGTGAGTTTTAAATCATGGCCATGGCTCAGCAGAATCCTACTCACATCAAAATACAAATAAAGCCTCATAAAGGGTTCTTTCCTGTACTTAAGCATATCTGTGTGTGTATGTGTGGACTTAAGTGCCAAGGTAGAACTGTACTTTTGTACTTTTACTTGTTTTAATACACAATATCATATCGCTGCTGTTGGAACAAAACCTCATATCTCCAAAATGAGAACTTTACAGAGGAAGGAAAAAACATACTCTACTTTTAAAGTAAGTCAGTGGAACCAGAGTTTTTCCAAGTAATTTTGGGTCATTTCTGCTGGTCCATTCATCATGAAATTTACACACAATATAAAGAACAACGGGTACTTTCAAATGAAAACCAACAAAAATGAAGGTTTTGGTTTTGTTCCAAAAGCAGCGATATATGATGTTTTTAACTGGGCCACTGCTTCATAACAATGTTACTAATGAAACAAATGTCTGGCACTTACATTTATAGAAACAGTTTGGCAAAAAAAAAAACCCCCAAAAAATTCAAATTTACCAGTTTTCCACTTACCCACTTAGTCAATTAGCCAAGACATATTTGGAGTCCAAATATTAATTCTTTAATTCAGAACTGGAGCTACAAGGCTAACACTGCTAAAACACTAGACCCCAAAATCGCCTAAATAATTTCTGTAAAAAATACATCCCCGTAACTTCTCTCAGCCAGCATCCACGTCTTCGCTACACACCACAGACTTGTTGCTGTGGTTTAGGACACTATATGACTTACTGTGAATTATAAAAAGGAACAAAATTTTATGGGCAGCTACTTCAGACAACACCAGGGCTGGTATTCCAAAAGCAAGACTGATCTTGGATTAGACGGTCATTGTCATAAATACTGATTCCAGTTTAGCACTCTGACTGCTAAGATGGTTTGTAAAGACAGATCCTGTTGTCTTAAGTGTCTGCCTGTGCCGTAAACCACACTGACCTGGATGCAGTTTGAGTGGGTTGAGAGAAGTTTTGCTGATGTGTTTCAAGATAAACAATTTAGGCTTTTTGGTTGACTACATCTGAGGTAGAAAACTGTAAATTAGATTTTTTGCTGAATGATTCCTGAATGTTGCTTTATAAATATGTTGTGCAATGCTTATGCATATGTTTTGAGGTCCCTTTGGAGGTAGCCTTCAAATAAAGTGTTTTTCGGTTATTTTGCATTGAACCTGTTTCCCCCCACACAGATTAAGTCTAAGCATAGGCTAAAAAGGATTTTTAGTAGTGAATCACCACTGAAACTGGAAGTTTGTCCAAGACTAGGCTTAAACCATGCAAACTAGAGTTTCTGGGAAACTGGCCCATCTGGGTTTACATTAATCCAGTATTAGAGTTCTCTCCATTCTCTACTGAGTTGTCCAGGAACATGCTTTATCCTGGAAAGTGGCTGTGAATGTTCAGCCTTTAAAATGGTTTGTTTTTATTCACATACAGCAGTTAGGCCTCAGCATCAAAGCCACTTCAATGACTTATAGTGATGAATCGATGCCTTTTTTTCCAGACTATGTTTTTTATTCTTGCCGATACTAATTCTGATACCATACTGAGAACTTAGAGTTAAGTAATTGTTAGTGTAAATGGGTGCAATGTGTCTGAACAGTTGAATTGTTAGATCTAGCTGATTTTAAATTAAGTACGTTAATAAAAATTGAACAGCACTGTAGTGGAAAAGAGTGGGTTTTGCTCCACATTATAAAAAGCATTTCTATATAGCTGTAAGTAAAGTAAGTTTCATAGTTTTGATCGTCGTGTGTCTCTTTTAATAACTGTCTCTGTAGCACAGCGACAGCAGGGATCATGTTGAGTTTTACATCTTGTTGGAGTCTTTATTTGGCTGAATTGCTGATTGAGCTGTAGTTTAATGTCCTCTGCATACACTATGCGATTTTAGAAATCTTATTCTTTGGTGACTCACACTGTATGTTTGAATCGTGTATGGACCAAGCAGACACACTGAGAAACTGTGCTACGGCAGCTTTGCTAACTTGTGCCACACTAGCCGTGTTTACATGCAGCCTGATAATCCGTTAATAATCTATCTAATAGCTCGATCGGAATAGAGTACGTCCATGTATACACCTCAATCGGAATAGACAGAGAAGAGGAGACAAAGTTCATGTTTGGACTTTAAAAGACGGTGGTGGGACGGGTGTCCAGCTTATGTGTCTCAGAACACGACGTCTTCCTCTCGGCCTTCTTTAATAAGGACATGTTGAGTACGTTTTCCTGAGTCTGACAGCACTGCTCATTGCAGCTCGTCTCACTCTGACTGGACTGATGTGACGCTTGTTGTCATAGTAACGTTTATGCTAAGTGGTCTTCTACGCATGCATGTTATTTTGGATGGGATTACTTGTAGTGTGCATGTAAATGGGGGTTTTCCATTAGATTGTTCAGGACAGTGTGCATAAAAACACTCAGTCCTAATCTAAAATTGGATTGGCAAAAATCATTCCATGTAAACACAGCCACTGTGCACTGAAACTAAGGCGATGATGTACATGGATAGGACAATACAGTCTCTCAGCCTACTTTACGATCTTTAAAAATAATATTTCAACATTTATACCTCGCGATTCTGTTCAGTCAAACAGAGTAAAGTCAGTATATGTGAATTTTGGTGGCAAATATTTTTTCGCCTCTGTTTTGCTATCCTATGTGTGTCCATCTGTATTGGGAAAGTGGTTGTGATTGTGCTTGTGTGATTAAAAACAGACTAAAGTTTCTGTCTGGCGGAATTTTAAAAGTGACCAATGGCGTTGCTTTGGACTACAATGGCTTCAGCAACAGTATGCCGTCCTTTGTTCATTAGCGCGGCAGCACAGTAGGCTTACGTCACACGGTTTCAAGTGGTATTGGTCCCTTTTTAATAAGTATGAATACGAGTAAATAAGCGGGACATTGAGCCAATACCTGACACCAGTAACAGTATCGATGCATGTCTAATAATTTATGGCTGTCTCTAAACGGGCCTACTGTCCAATTCATAATAACCGTAGACACATTAGAACTCGTAACGTTGTAACAGATATCTCCAGGGCCAAATATGGCATTTATCTGCACAGGTAATGAATGTGAGGAAGATGAAAAGGTCTCAGTTTAATTATCAGTGTCCAGTACGCTGCCTCCGACACGGCGTGCCATTGTCTTGGTGCAGAAGTGCCTCCTGAAACTCGCGGGGATTAGTCATCGCTGAGGGCCGAGCCGAGCCGACCCGTTGTCCACAGCAACCGTGAAGCTCAGCTGCGAAATATGAGGGCTGAGGAGGCGGCCCTGACGGCCGCAGACAACAGTCGGGGCTTAAAGGGGCTTCTTTTGGCACAACGAGGCTGCTTAGATGTCTCGTCTCCATGGTGAACCAAGTATCAGTTGGTTCTTAGTGACGGCCGGGCATCCTTGGTCACATTTTCCCTCTCCATGGGCTTCCACACCATGCTTCCATTTCGGTCACCTTCTTCTCAGATGTGTTTCTATTTATCAGCCTCTTCTTTGCCCTTTTGTTCCACTGGCTTCCTTCTCTCTGCTCCTCCAGGCTGACCTGCCATGGTCTTTTTCTGTAGAAGCTGTTTTTAAAGGGCTACTCCAACACTTTTCAGTCTCATGGACAAAAATATGTTCTCAATACTAAACTCAAAACACACTTATACATGAAGCCAGTGGGCAGGTGCTTTAGGGAAAGGCATCCTCAGAGTGATGCCACAGAAGAACCACTGTAGACTCCATAGAAGAACTTTTCAGTGGATGTTCTTTTGTTCTTTAAAGAACCACATGTGCAAGTGTTGCGAAGGAACTAGCCTCCACGTCCCACAATTCCACAGGTTCTTTATCAGATAAAGTTTTTCCCTAGAACTTTACATCCAAGCCAAGAACTATTTAGGAGGCTTAATTTTGAAGAGTGCAGGAACATTTTGATTGTGCACACAACCACAAAAAGACACTCTACTCAAATCCACCCTGAAATTAGACGTTTCTTGGGTCTTTGTTCGCTCATGCAGTACATTTCTGAGGAGGGCCGCCGAAACCACGGTGGTGAGCGGGCATTTGACCCAACACTTTTCGAAGTACCGGGGCGACGCCCCACTACTTTTGCATTTAGAGCGCACACATAAAAACCTTCATTTTCCTTAAACTGCATAAAGCGCTGACCAGCATGAACAGGCAGAGTAAAACTGAACGACAGAGCCAATCAGAGTCTCCATTTCAGCTGGGAGGGGCTTTCAGACCTGCCGTGGTTGGTGTGGACCTGTCAATTTTTTTGTATTCCGGCAGCACCAAACAACTGAACTACACTTGTTCACGAGGGAATTCAACACCAGAGCATGTTTTTTTTTTTTCCAGTGCACATTTTCACTGTACTGTCAGCACAATCTGCTGCTTTAACATTTCACTCTATTCAAACGCTCATATCGTTCCTGCACTGCGATCTGATGTAAATAATGAGAGACAAGCAATAAAATAATAATATGCCTTTGGTTTTGGATCAGTCAGACACTGGCTGTTCATGATCAGGTCACAGGAGGGTAGAGTAGCTTAAATCATTACTTAAGTAAAAGTATTGATACCTGCATGAAATCATTACACAAGTAACAGAACCTTCCCCAAAACAACTTGAGTAGAAATATAAAAGTAGTACTGAGTACTGCAGTCTTAATAGCTCCATTTTGCATAGGAACTGCAGAACTTCTCTTTTTGAGATTCTTTTGGTCTAAAATACAAAGCTCCAAAGTCAGAGATGTAACCAATCACAAAACAGTACAAATATTGCCATCATCACAATGTACTCAATGTTGAAATTAAACACAAAAAGAAATTAGTAACTAAATATGAATGGCTAAAATGTAACACAGGTAAAAGATCCTTTAATTACTAATATACTTTAGTAGAAGTAGAAGTATTTTGAGTAATATTTGAAAAATATTATTTGAATTTGAAATATTTGAGAGTAAAAATTGAGTAAATGTAACTAGTTACAACTCATCTCTGAATAGGTTTATAAAGACAGTCATTAGCATGACATGAAAGGCAATTTTAGTCAGTGGCCTAATTGCAT